GCCCAGGCAGCCCTGCAGGCTGTGAACTCCGTGCAGTCGGGGAACCTCGCGCTGGCTGCCTCGGCCGCCGCTGTGGACGCGGGCATGGCCATGGCTGGACAGAGCCCTGTGCTCAGAATCATCGTGGAGAACCTCTTCTACCCGGTGACGCTGGACGTGTTGCACCAGGTACAGGCACGGGGGAGGCGGGCACAGGGGCTGGGCACGGGGGCGGGCACGGGCTCCGGGGCTCACGGTGTGCGCGCCCACAGATCTTCTCCAAGTTCGGCACTGTCCTCAAGATTATTACGTTCACCAAGAACAACCAGTTCCAGGCACTGCTGCAGTACGCGGAGCCCGTGAGCGCCCAGCATGCTAAACTGGTAAGGGGTCCCCTGGTGCCCCCCCCACCCCCCGCCAACCTCTGCCTGCCCGCTCACTCCCTTCCCTGCAGCCCCACCCCCCTGCCCGCCCGCTGACCGTCCCTTCCCCGCAGTCCCTGGACGGACAGAACATCTACAATGCCTGCTGCACGCTGCGGATCGACTTCTCCAAGCTCACCAGCCTCAACGTCAAGTACAACAACGACAAGAGCCGCGACTATACCCGCCCAGACCTGCCCTCGGGGGACAGCCAGCCCTCACTGGACCAGACCATGGCCGCGGCCTTCGGTAAGGCGCTGTCCCGCGTTGCCCAGCTCTAGCGTCAGGTTGCCAAGGGGGTCAGCCCAGCCAGCGCCCAGGAGGCCCCAGCGCACCCAGGAGCCGGCTCCTGCCGCTCCTTGCCAGCCCTGCCCGCACTGCGCAGCCCAGGGCCCGGCGCGGTGCGGGTGTGGGTGCGGTGATTAGTGTCTCATTTATTTCTAGGTGCGCCTGGTATAATCTCAGCCTCTCCGTATGCAGGAGCTGGTTTCCCTCCCACCTTTGCCATTCCTCAAGCTGCAGGTACTCCACACTTGTCTCGCCCCACAGCCGATTGTGCATGCCCACGCGGCCGTCCCAGTGACGGGCCGGCTTCCCGGGAGCGGGGCAGGAGCCACAGGGCCCCTGCCCCCAGGGGGCGTGGCGTGGCGTGGCGTGGCCAGGGCAGCTAGACAGGGCCGGGCGAGAGCCACGGCGGCACTGACCGCGCAGTGTTTGGTTCCCTTCAAGCAGCTCGAGGACAAGGACGCGTGGTGTCAGGGCCCTGTCCCCCCGTAGGTTGACTCAGTGGCCTGGTAAGCCAAGGAGCATGAGCGGTGGGCGCAGGCGTGCTTGCCCGCCCGCCCGCCGCGTCGTCTGCATGGAGCGTGGGCGCCTGTGGCGCGGCGAGGTGTGTCCGTGCAGGCCCTGCTGGCAGAGGGCCCTGTCGCCTTCCTTGGACCGAGGCTTCTGTGCTGTGGCGCATGCAGCGGGTCCCGGCCCGGCACGCCGTGCTGGGAGGAGGGGGTGTCTGCAGCGAGCCCAGCTCGCCGGCTCCACAGCCCCCCTCTGCATGAGGCCCAGCCAGCCGGCCGGCCGGGCGCGGGTGCTCACCACCTCACCGCCCCTTTCTCTGCAGGCCTCTCCGTCCCTAACGTCCATGGAGCCCTGGCCCCTCTGGCCATCCCGTCGGCGGCGGCGGCAGCGGCCGCGGCTGGCCGCATTGCCATCCCGGGCCTGGCTGGGGCAGGGAACTCTGTGCTGCTGGTCAGCAACCTCAACCCGGAGGTACGTGGGCCTCGGTTGGCGGGGCTCCCAGGGTGCGCGGGATGGTGGGGAGCTGGGCGGGGTGGGGGGGCCCACGGGATGGCGCCGGGCCAGCCTCAGGCCCCTAGGGGCTCTGCCGCCTCCCTCTCGTGCCTGTACTTTTGTCTGACGTGTCTCCTCTCCCGAGACGGCTCTGAGCACTCCTGTTCTCCTTAACATCTTGGTTTGCGTTCCCGTCCCTGTGTCTGAAGTGGCCGTAGTTTTCTGACCATCCCCCTCCCTCCATGTGAGATCACTGCAGCGTAGCGTGGCAGGGAACGGCAGGGGGAGCTGTCTGCCAGAGCCTGGCTTCCAGGACGGCCTGGGCCCCGTGGGGGCGGCCCACGTCTCACGTCTCACATTATCAGCATCCCGGGTGGGCCAGGCGGGTGTCCCTGCCTCAGGACGCGGTGTCCCTCCGGCTAGCTGGCTCAGTGCAGTGCAGACAGGCAGCGGCCCTGCAGGGGACTGCCCTGCCTTTTTTGGGGGAGGGCCTCGCCCGCCTGGCCGCGCCCGCCTCAGCAGGCCCCCCCCTCCCCCGCGGAGCTCCTCCTGTGTGTGCGTGTGTGTGCGTGTGGCATGTGCGGGCGCGTGTGGCTGGTGGAACGCTGCCCTGTTTTCTGATGTATTACTGACCTGTGTTTTTTTGCTACTTTTTTTTTCTTTTCTCCCCTTCCCCTTTCCCAATTTTGTTTTTCTTCCCTGATCCGGAATTTCTTTGCCAACTGACTGCACGGTTCTTCTGCTTCCTGTTGTTGCTTGAAACAAAAACAAACCATAAATAAACAAAAACAATCCCCCAACCCGCCCTCCGGACACCCGCCCCTGAATATTAACATCCTGACAACTGCGTCATCCGCCAACCACTGCACGCCCGCGGGCTCTCTTCGTGGCGGACGATGGCTCTTCGTCCCCCGGCTCTCCCTCTCCCCTGTCCCTCCGCTGCCTTGCTCTGCTGTCCCTTAAAGAGAGTCACACCCCAAAGCCTCTTTATTCTTTTCGGTACGTTATCGTTCTCACTTTTATTACTTGGTTTTTCGTGCAATTTTCGGTTTTTACGCCCTGCGCAGCGTTGTGGTCTGGCGGCTCCCAGCCTGTGTGCTGGACCCCTAAGTCGCGCGTGGTTCGCCGCCCCGCATGCTCCCGGGGACTAACCCGAGCTGGGGCACGCGGAGGGGCGCTGGGCTGCAAGCCAGCAAAACCGGCCGGGCCTGGAGAGGGGAGCGGTGGGGGGGCTGGCGGGACTGGCGGGACTGGGCAGAGGGGGCGCTGGCACTCAGCAGCTCCCCCCTCCCCGCACCCCGGCTCTTTGAAGGCGTGTATGGAGACGTGCAGCGCGTGAAAATCTTGTTCAACAAGAAGGAAAACGCCCTGGTACAGATGGCTGACGGCAGCCAGGCCCAGCTGGGTGAGTGAGTGGCTGCTGCCCGGGGCCGGCCTGGGCACTGTGCCAACCAACCACTGCCCACTCACACCTTCCCTCCCTTCCCACCCCCCCCAGCCATGAGCCACCTCAACGGGCACAAGTTGCATGGCAAACCCATCCGCATCACGCTGTCTAAGCACCAGAGCGTGCAGTTGCCCCGCGAGGGCCAGGAGGACCAGGGGCTGACCAAGGACTACGGCAACTCGCCCCTGCACCGCTTCAAGAAGCCTGGCTCCAAGAACTTCCAGAACATCTTCCCGCCCTCCGCCACCTTGCACTTGTCCAACATCCCGTGAGTGCCGGGACGTGGGGTAGGGCGGCCATCCCGTGGTGGCCCCGGCTGGCCGGCCCCCTGCCTCCCCGTCAGGTGTGGGGCTGACGGCCACCCCCCGCTGCCCTCTCTGCAGGCCCTCTGTGTCCGAGGAAGACCTCAAGATGCTCTTCTCCAGCAATGGGGGTGTGGTCAAGGGCTTCAAGTTCTTCCAGTGAGTCTGAGCCCCGCCTGTCCCTGTCAGCCGCCAGCCTCCCCTGCCCTGTCCCCCATCGGCCCTGTCCCATCCCCCGGCCGCCAGCACCCTCCCACTGCCGTGTCCCCTGCCACCAGCCTCACCCTACTCTCCTCACAGGAAGGACCGCAAGATGGCCCTGATCCAGATGGGCTCCGTGGAGGAGGCCGTCCAGGCCCTCATCGACCTGCACAACCACGACCTGGGCGAGAGCCACCACCTGCGGGTGTCCTTCTCCAAGTCCACCATCTAGGGGCAGGGCCCCGCGGGCCGGGCTCCCGTCAGCAACTTCCATCATTCCACAGAAAGCCACTTTAAAAAAAAGCAGCTCAAGTGACCTTAACAGACCAGAGAATTTATTTTTTTAAAGAGAAATCAGTTTACCTGTTTTTAAAAAAAAAAAAAGAATTAAATCTAGATCACCTTGCTCACGGCGTGGTGGCAGGCAGGCAGCTGCGGCAGCGGGCCCGCCCCAGGACAGTGCCTTGTCCAGGCGCCCCGGCGCGCGGCCTGCGGCGGGGGGCGTCCTTGTGCCTTAGACCTGCCCACCTGGGCTGACCGGGGACCCCCGGGACCCCCAGGACCCCCCCCACCCGCGGGCATCCCCACCCCTCAATCAAGTGACGTGATTGCCGCCCCCAGGGCGCCCCCTGCTGCTTGGCTTCGGAGCCTGCGGTCTCCCGTGACCAAATACTCCTGCTTCGTTTATATGCAAGAGATAGTTTTTAAGTAACTTTTTATAGCGTGATACAGTGGTATGCGTGTGTCCGAACTTGTATTCTCTACTCTGTGTATTTTATTCTTTGTAACTCGGCCCCCAGGCAGGCCCGCTGCCGCGGCCTGCGCTGCCTTAACCCTCCCGCGCCGCGAAGCGAGCTCCCTTTTCAGGGCTGTGCGTGTACTCTTCCCTTTGCAAATTTTGGACCAAAGTTTTGTTTCTGTTTTTATGTCTGCCTCTGGTGGTGGGACTAACTCTTTGAGTCTTACGGCCCTCCCTCCCCCCCGCCCGGGCGGGTGGGCAGAGGGGTCTCCCTGGAGTTCGCTAGGGTGTAAATATTTATAGTTTTTTATACCTGTCGTGAGGCGGCAGCGCGGTTTCTATGGCGGCAAATGTATATTTTGGTTACGGCCTCAGCACATCGCGGAAAAAAAAAAAGAACTCTCGGTTAGGCGAACAGCCCCGCACCTCCTGTAGGCCTCCGGGCCGCTCCCGCGTGGACTCAATAAATTTTCTGTATCTTGCACCCCCTGGTCTCCCGTCTTTGCATCTCACTCGCCCCAGGAACTCAGGCTGCTCAGCCTTGCTTGTCTGCGTGTCTTTATTGGGTCGCCCCGCATGCACCGCCCGCCCCACCCTCGCCCGGTGCCCCCCGCATGCCATGTTCAGTCCTGGAAGCGGCGGGCGGCCACCCTCCGGTAGTAGCCCTCGGCCTCGGCCGCCTCGCCCAGCGCCGCGCGCCGCAGCGTGGACTCCCGGCTGGCCGGCCCCAGCACGCCGTCGGCCGCGCCCGGCGGGGGCAGACCCTCGCCCGTGGCCAGGTTGACGGTGGCCACGCCGGTGAAGCGCGGCTCCTCCTGGTCAACGTCGCTGACGGACGAGCCGGGGGACACGCCGGCAGTCTTGACCCCGCGGAAGCTGCGTGCCAGGTCCCCCAGCTCGTAGGCGCCCTCACCCTCCGCGCCCTTGGGCCCGCCGCCCGCCGACTTCCACTCCCAGGGCGCGGGCGCGGCGGACAGGTGCACCACGGGGTGGTGCGGCGCGTGGGCATCGATGGTCACGATGCTGGCCGAGTCGCGGTCCGACGGCGAGCGGTACTGGGACGAGTCGGAGCTGGCGCTGGAGGATGAAGCGGTCTCGGCCGCCTTGGGGCCCGACGCGCCCGAGGCCTTGGACATGGCGATGACCTGCAGCAGGCGCGGGGGGTTGGCCACGCGCGTCTGCGAGCCGGGCGCGGGCGCGGCGGTGCCACCGCCCTTCTCGGCCATCAGGAGCCACTTGGCACGCACCGCTGCGCTGCTCTTCGGGGACAGGCCGGCCCCTGGCGCCGCGCCTTCGGGGATGTGCACCAGTGGCTGCGGCCCTGCCCGGGGCGGCAGGACGACCCGCGGCCCCAGCCCCGGGCGCGCCTGCACGGTGGGGTACAGAGAGGGCGGCACCGGGCTACCTTCCACCTCCTCCTCCGCCTCCTCCTCTTCCTCTTCCTCCTCCTCTTCCTCCTCCTCCTCCTCCTCTTCCTCCGCCATGGGCTCCGCAGGCGCGCGCAGATGCGCCGGGCTGCCTTCATCGGGCAGCCCCAGGCCGCGGCCCTCCAGCGTCTTCTGTTTCCATTCGCTGATGAGTTGCTTGGAGCGCCCGGCGTCGAGCGGCACGTGGATGGTCATGTGGCGCCGGGCGGGATCGTCCAGCGATGGCGTGCTGGCCCGCGGCAGCGTGTTGCTGAAGGTGACCATGTGTTCCTTCACCATGGGGCTGCGCGGGGCTAGCAGGTCCGCGTCCACACTGGCCCTCTTCAGGCTGCCCAGGGGCGTCTTCTCGCGGGCCGCGGGCCGCGGTGCGCCCTCCAGCCGCCCGGCGCCACCCAGCTGGTCGCTGCTAGCCGACTTGCTCTGCCGGTACACGGAATCGTGGCCCCGCTGCGTCAGGGCGCGTAGCGCATCCTTGCTGGGCGCCGCCGTCGGGACCGGCTTCTCAACTTGCGGGGCCTGGAAGTTGCCCACGGCGTGGCAAGCCTGGGGTGGTAGAGGAGCAGGGTGTGTGAGCCCCGAGGACCCAGGGGAGGGGAGGGTGGGCGCGTTCGGGGTGCCCCGGTGCCCCCCGGCCCTCGAGCTCACCAGGTAGGCGGCGATGCCGGCGCCGATGAGGAATCCCGTATAGACATCCACAGGATGGCTGCGGTACTGCGTGACCTGCGTGAGCCCGCACACGCCGGCCGCGATGGCGAAGGCGAACACCAGCACGGGCTTGAGCAGCTTGGTGGCATCCGAGATGACGGAGTTGAAGTACATCTGAGGGCGGGAGGGGAGGGGGCGCTCAGCAGGCAGGCGCGCGCGGGGCAGGGGCGTCCGGGGGGTGGGGGGCCTGGGACACTCACAGACACATAGACCGCCGCAAAAGCTGACAGCGTGGCGTGTTGAGAGGGGAAGGTCTTCCTGGAAGAGACGGCGTGTGAGCCCCCCCACCCCCGCACGCCCACCCCACTGCCCCGGCCCACGGGTGCCTGGCTCACCGCGCCGACAGGATGGCATGCGTGTCGTGGCCAGAGCAGATGTCCTGTGTGATGTAGGGGTTGGCCTCGCACGAGGTGCCCAGGAGCGTGTAGTTGGGCTTGCAGACGGTGAGGAAGAAGGGTGCATGGTAGCCGGTGGCCAGCTGGATGATATCCGTCACCAGGGCTGTGGCGCAGAGGCCGAACACGTGCACGCCTGTGGAGAGGGCGTGGAGAGGGGTGATGGTCGGTACCGGGCCTGTAAGGCAGGCATGCACGCACGCGTGCAGGAGCGGGGTCACAGCCTGGAGTGGACGGCAGGGCTGGACAAATGTGGAGCGGGATCAGACCTGGAGCGGGTACCGGGTGGCTCAGCCGACAGGCGACTCACCCACGAAACGCACGGTTCGCCGCAGGAAGGAGCTGAGGCTGCAGCCGCCAGCGCTGATGCTGCCCTCGGCCCCACCGGGGACAGCCCCGCGGCCCCACAGCCGGGACTGCAGGCAGTAGAGCAGGCCTTCGCCAAGCATGATCTGCGGACGACAGGAGGCTCAGCCGGGTTCGGCTGGCAGCGCGCGGCAGGCCGGCCAGCTGGGCACTCACCGAGGCGGCGGGGGCGGCGAAGGCCAGGCTGAGCAGCATCAGCAAGGGAATGAGCTCCTCACTGGTCTCCACGTAGGGCATGGACAGCGAGCGGTCATAGCACTGGAAGCCCACCTTGGCCGGCTTGAAGACGTCCGTCAGCTCCAGGAAGTACAGCGACACCACGGAGGACGCCACGATGGGCAGCTGCGGGGATGGGGCTGCTGCGGTCAGCCTGTGGCCCCTGCTTTGGGACCAAGCCTGTTCACCCCCTAGGCTTCCTGAGCCTTAGGAAAGCCTGCAGTTGGGTCCCCACGAGAGAGGCATCCCTCAGGGGGCAGGTGGCTCCATCCTGCCCTGTGGCCCTGGAACGGGACATGCCCCCAGGCAGGTGTCCCAGACAAGGCAGGCGGAGGAGCCACTGGCACTCGTGGGTGTCAGCAGGCGGCTAGTTCCTTCAGGGCCTTGGGTATGCCCCCTTGGGGAGCCCTCCCCAGCCACGTGGGGGCCCCATCTTTTTTTTTTTAATTTATTAATTTTATTTGAAAAGGCAGTGTTACAGAGAAGGAAAGAAAGATCTTCCATCTGCTGGTTCACTCTCCAAATGGCCAAGGCCAGGAGCCAGAAGCTGCTTCTGGGTCTCCCACGGAGGTGCAGGCTTCCAAGGCCCTGGCTCATATTCTGCTGCTTTCCCGGGCCACAAGTTGGATGGGAAGCAGGGCTGCCTGGACACGAACCGGCGCCCACGTGGGATGCTGGTGTTGGCAGGCAGAGGATTAGCCCTTTGCACCATTGTGTCAGACAGACCCTGAGTTCAGGCTCCTCCCCATCCAGCACCCCACAACCTGGAGAATGTGGGGTTCGGGAGAAGTCAGTCGCCCATGCTCCAAGTCCTACGCGGAAACATTCCCAGGTGAAGACAGAGCCTGCGATGCAGGTTCGAGTCCTGGTCCTCCACCTCCCATCCGGCTCCCTGCTGATGCACCTGGCTAGCCGGTGGAGGATGGACCAAGATCTCTGGCCCCTGTACCTGCAACCAGGGAGCTCCCCGCTGGGGCCGGAACCCACTCTTGTAGGGCTGAGCTCACAGGTGCCTGGCTGGGCCTGGGTACAGGAAAGCGCAGGGTCCAGCCGCTGGGGGCAGGGAGATGCTGCCGGTGGAGACCCCGCCCCTAGCAGAGCCTGGCCGACCCCTACTGCAGCCCCTCAGGTCCTGCCCCGCCTTGCCTCCTCCCAGAGGCTGTGGGACCCCCATGGGAATCACCTCTCTTCCTGCCAGGCCCAGCCCCGCACCCCGGCACCCCTTGGTGTGTGCACGTCTCGCAGTGGTGGCTGGGGGGGAAGGACGTTGGAAGGGCCGGAACGCACACCCCCACCTCAAGCAACGCCCCCCTACTACCCCGGAGCCCCCCGCCTCCACTCCACTGGCCTCCCACCAGCCTCGGGTGGACAGGTGAGCTCCGCCTGCAGCCCCCACCCCCCCGTGCCGCCCACGCGCGGGTGGGCGGCGTGGTGGGCGCGCCCCCTGCTCACCTCCACGAAATAGAAGCAAGGCAGCAGCGTCATGCTGTCCTTCGGGGTCCTGCTGGCCTTGGCGGTGAGCATGGTGCCGCGGGCGTCGCAGGCCGTGGCTGCAGCGCGGCCTCAGCCTGCAGCTCGCGCGAGCGCCCGCGGCCCCTCACCTGGCGCAGGGCGCAGGGCGCAGGGCGCACAGAGCCGGACGCAGGGGACCCGGGGGGCTCGGCCGCCTGCGCGCGGGGCGGGGCTCTTTGTCTCGGCGGCCGGGGGCGCCGCGCGCGTCTGTGCCCGGGCCTGGCGCCTGGCGCGCCGTCCCCGCCTCCCGCGCGCGGGCCCGGGGCTCGGGGTCCGCGCCTCCCGGCCGCTCCCGACGTGCCCGGCCCCCTCCCCAACGCGCGTCTCCATGGCGAGCGGGCGGGCGGGAGACAAAAGAAGAGGCGTGGCGGGGGCGGGGTCCCTTTTGCAGCCGCGCCCCTCCGGCCCGGGGTCCCCTCCTGCTCCTCGCCCCTCCGGCCCTGGGTCCCCTCCTGCTCCTCAGCCCTCCGGCCTGGGGTACCCCTGTATCCCGGCGTCTCCTCTTGCTCCTCGCCCCTCCGTCCCGGGGGTCCCCTCCTGCTCCTCAGCCCTCCGGCCTGGGGTACCCCTGTATCCCGGCGTCTCCTCCTGCTCCTCGCCCCTCCAGCCCGGGGTCCCCTCCAGCGCTCTGCTCCCTCTGTCCCGGGGTCCCCTCTATCCCAGGGTCCCCCCCGGCACCCCACCCTGCCCCTCTTTCCCGGGGTCCCCTCTGGCTTCTCACCCCTCCATCCTGGGGTCCCCTCCATCCCTGGGACCACTCTGTCCTGGGGTCTACTCTGTGCCAGGGCCCCCTCCTTCATCCTGCCCCCACCATCCACGGGTCCCCTCTGTCGTGGGGTCCTCGCTCTCGGGGTAGGGGCATCCTGGGTCCAGACGCGCACTTAGTGAGTGCCCGCGCGTGTGTGTGTGTGTGTGTGTGTGTGTGAGGCCCTGTCCAAGAGACCTAAGCAGCAGGTTTGCAAAATATAGTTTTAAGTTTAGTTTCAGTCTTTATTGCAAGACAGCAGGAGAAAGAGCTCCCTTCTTCTGGGTCTCCCCCATGGGTGGCAGGGACCCCAACCCTGAAGCACCTGCTGCCTCCCAGAGTGGGTGTGACCCGGGAACCAAGGTGTACAGGGCTGGACCCCTGTGCCCACCCCGAGCAGGCCTCGCGTGTCCCCAGGAGCTGGGCGCCACCAGGTGGACGTGAGACCTCGCCCAGGGGCCGAAGGACGAGAGAGGAGGCCCGGCCTGCAGTGGACCCTGCGCACCTGACCTGAGGCCTGGCACACCAGTCCTGGCAGTACAGGTGGGGAGCTGCCCAGGCATGGACATGGGCACAGAGCAGGGCCTCCTTGGGCACCAGGGGCTGGGTGAGGCGGGGAAGGGAGGGGACAGCGGCCTGCGCCTGGGCTGAGGTAGACACTGCCCGGACACTGCGGATGTCAGGTGCCCCCAAGGCCCTGCCTGACCTGTGTGTTGAGGGGGGAGGCCCCGGCTATGTACTGTCACTGGGAAATAGCCCCACTTGACAACACTGGCCCCCAGAACAATGTCAGCTGCCCCGGGAGGCCCACAGCCCACCTAAGAGTGCCGGAACATGAGGCCAGCACGGGGCGGGGGGGTGCAGCAGGGACCCCGGGGTGCAGGGCCTTGAGGTCAGCATTGGGGGGCAGCAGGGACCCCAGGGTGCAGCAGGGACCCCAGGGTGCAGGGCCTTGAGGCCAGCAACGGGGGGCAGCAGGAACCCCGGGGTGCAGGGCCTTGAGGTCAGCATGAGGGGGGGGTGCAGCAGGGACCCCGGGGTGCAGGGCCTTGAGGTCAGCATGAGGGGGGGGTGCAGCAGGGACCCTAGGGTGCAGGGCCTTGAGGTCAGCACGAGGGGGGGTGCAGCAGGGACCCCGGGGTGCAGCAGGGACTCCAGGGTGCAGCAGGAACCCCGGGGTGCAGGGCCTTGAGGTCAGCATGAGGGGGGGTGCAGCAGGAACCCCGGGGTGCAGGGCCTTGAGGTCAGCATGAGGGGGGGTGCAGCAGGGACCCCGGGGTGCAGGGCCTTGAGGTCAGCATGAGGGGGGGGTGCAGCAGGGACCCTAGGGTGCAGGGCCTTGAGGTCAGCACGAGGGGGGGTGCAGCAGGGACCCCGGGGTGCAGGGCCTTGAGGTCAGCATTGAGGGGCAGCAGTGACCCTGGGGTGGAGGGACCCAGAGGAGCTCCTGGCTTCTGCCTTCTACTTGTAGACACCAGAGGATGGGAGACGCCTGTCCCCTCTCTCTTGCAGCGGAGGTGGCCAATCCTTGAGCCCTGCACCCCGAGGGAGTCACTTCGGGATGCCAGTCGCTCCTCCTTTCCAAAGCAATCAAGGTTAAAGTGACCGTTTATCGGAATCTTTTTTCCTGGTTTTGTGGAGTACTCCCTCCCCGCCCCTTGCCGAGCGGAAGCTGGGAGCGGGACTCGAACCCAGGTCCCTCGTCTGGGAGCGGCGGGCAGCGCAGCCGCAGCAGGATGGCTGCCCGGCCGGCCCCCGTCCACGGGCTGGTCACTCGGAGGGCGGGACACCAGGCGCGCGGTGTGGTTGGCTGGTCTGCCTGTCACTCAGAGGGCGGGATCCCAGCTACGCGGTGTGGTTGGATAGCCTGCCTGCCTGTCAATTGAGGTGGGCGGGCTCTGGTGTGTGGTTGGTCGGCCTGCCTGTCTGTCGTTGGCCTTGGTCTGTCACCTCCTCCTCCACGCACGCCCCGCCTCCTCGCCAAGGCGCGCCCTGCTGCCGCCTAGCGGCCACGTCCGGAACTGCGCGTTCCCGCCGTCCCAGCGGAGTGACAGGATGTGAGGTGCAGGGTGTGTGGGGGGCAAGGACACCCCTTCCCAGGCGTTCCCTGCAGCCTCTGGGCGCTGAGCTCCTGGCTCCTCATGTAGCCACCCAGGGGTGCAGGGTGTGTGGGGGGCGACACCCCTTCCTTCCCAGACGTTTCCTGCAGCCTCTGGGCGCTGAGCTCCTGGCTCCTCATGTAGCCACCCAGGGGTGCAGGGTGTAGGGGGGGCGACACCCCTTCCTTCCCAGGGCCCCCTGCAGCCTCTGGGCGCTGAGCTCCTGACTCCCTCATGCAGTCACCCAGGGGTGCAGGGTGTGTGGGGGGCGACACCCCTTCCTTCCCAGGGCCCCCTGCAGCCTCTGGGTGCTGAGCTCCTGGCTCCCCCATGCAGTCACCCAGGGGTGCAGGGTGTAGGGGGGGGCCACACCCCTTCCTCTCCAGGGCCCCCTGCAGCCTCTGGGCGCTGAGCTCCTGGCTCCCCCATGCAGTCACCCAGAGGGTGCAGGGTGTGTGTGGGGCGACACCCCTTCCTCCCCAGGGCCCCCTGCAGCCTCTGGGCGCTGAGCTCCTGGCTCCCTCCAGGGGGTGCTAACCCTCCTCCTCTCTCAGGGGAGAAGACAGGTCACTGTGCTCTGAACACCCCTGGCTCCCCTGGCTCCCCTGGCCCGTGGGTGGTGCCCCATACCCCTGCTGTCCAGCTGGGATGGGTGCGTGCAGCAGGCGCCACCCTGGGCAACGCCCGTCTGGCCGTTGGCTGCGTCCCCTGACTCTTCCCACAGCACCCGGGACGTTGCCCCTTGCGACAGCGTTGGCGACTGGCAGTTGCAGTGGAAACATCCTAGGGGGCAGGGCGGCTGGTGTGGGAACCCCTTGGCCCTTCCTGACCCTGACTGGGGTTCCCAGGGGGGTCCCTGTCCCAGCCTGGCCCGGATCAAGGGAGTGGAGTGACTCTGAGAGGCAGCCCCGGGCCAGGGGTGAAGAGAGAGGTGACACAGCCTCGCCCGGCCCAGCGAAGGGCTGGTGCTCTGGTCAGTTGGCTAGGTGGGGCCACTGTTTGAATGCCCCGGGTAAACTGAGGCCCATAGCACAGGTGGAGGGGACCTGAGCCATGTCTGTCAGGCTTGGGCAAAAAGAGGATGCCAGAACGGCAGGTGAGTGGGCTCTGGCAATCGCCTGGGGCATACATGAGACACGCCTGGGACACGCCTGCGATGTATGTGGGACACGCCTGGGACATGCATGAGACAGGCCTGGGACACGGCTGCACTACCCATGCTGACGGCTGCTCTCACCTGAGACGGTGGCCCTGTCGGTGCCCACCCGCCCTGGGCTCCCCTTCTCAGCCCCTGCCTTGTGCCCCATCCTGGGAACAGGCAGGAAGTGAGGTCCCTGCAGGCCATGTGGCAACCCAACGGCCTCCCTCCTGGGGGGGCTATAAAGAGACCAGGGAGGGTCCCCCCAGACACAGCCTAAGCCCACACAATGCTGGCTGCAGCCCTGCTGGGCTTGTTGCTGGCCGGTGAGCAGGGCTTCCTGCCCTTCCTTCTTCCCTGGGTCCCTGGGTGTCGGCTGGCTAGTGGGAGCAGGGTGGGTCAGGCCCTGGCTGAGGGTAGGTGTCCCAGGGGCCGCGGGCAGCCAGCAGCCCCTCACACCTGCTCCTGGCTCTGCGTTCCCAGGCCCTGCACTGGCCTCTGAGATCGTGGGCGGCCGGTCAGCTCGGCCCCATGCCTGGCCCTTCATGGTGTCCCTGCAGCGTCGGGGCGGCCACTTCTGCGGGGCCACCCTGATCGCCCCCAACTTCGTGCTGTCGGCTGCACACTGCATGAACGGCGTGTGAGTGGCCAGCTTCTGGCTCTGGGCAGAGGGAGGGCACCTCCAGGGCCCCTGGTGGATCTGTCCTGTGTACCCACGGGACCCGCTGGGCTCCATGCTGGACACTCCATGCACTGCTTGTCCCCCCTGCCCCCCAGGAACTTCCGGTCGGTGCAGGTGGTGCTGGGTGCCCACAACTTGAAGCGGCGAGAACGCACGCGACAGACCTTCGCCATCCAGCGCGTCTTCGAGAACGGCTTCGACCCCATATTCCTGCTGAATGACATCGTGGTCCTGCAGGTGCGGGTGTCGTGGGATAGGGGCAAGGTCTCGGGTGCAGGAAGCAGCCCGGCCGGGCACCCCTGGGTGCAGGCTGAGGGGTCGAGCATGGGTGTGTGTGTGTGTGGAAGCTTTGCAGAGCCGGAGGGCTGCCAGTACTGGGGTGAAGCGCGGAGGGGGAGGCAAAAGCTGGGCCTGCTTGCCAGGGGGGGTCCTGCGTCTTGGTGGCCGCACTGGGAGGGCAGGGGGAGCCGCCCACCGCCCCTCCAGTCGCCCACGCCCCCTCTGTTCGCAGCTCAACGGGTCGGCAACCATTAACAAGAACGTGCAGGTGGCCCAGCTGCCGGCCCAGGGCGACGGCGTGGGCAACGGCGCACGGTGCCTGGTCATCGGCTGGGGCCGGCTGGGCACGCACCGGCGGCTGTCCCGCGTCCTGCAGCAGCTGAATGTGACCGTGGTGACCTCGCTGTGCCGCAGCAGTAACGTGTGCACGCTGGTGCGGCGCCGGCAGGCTGGCATCTGCTTTGTACGTGAGGGTCATGGACTCCCCCTATGCGCCCCGGGAAGGGCTGGCCATCCTGGCCACCCAGCCGCTGACCGCCTACCTCCACAGGGGGACTCCGGTGGACCCCTGATCTGCAATGGGCTGGTGCAGGGCGTCGACTCCTTCGTACGTGGCGGCTGCGCCTCAGGGGTCTACCCCGACGGCTTCGCCCCGGTGGCACAGTTCTCCGACTGGGTCAACTCCATCATCCATGCCAGGGACCTCATGGACAGGCCCCGCTGAGCCCCCGCGTGGCTGCTGCCCCCTCCCAAGTGCTTGACACAATAAAAGCCCCCCTTGTTTTGCAGAACCAACGCGCTGCCGTCCCTCGTTGGGCCTCTCTTGGGTACGCTGCCACCAAGTGGCGGCGAAGTGGGTGAGCTGGGGCCAGAAGTGAGCCCCTTCCCCACTGTCAAGTCCCGGTTATTGAGTGCGTCCAGGGCGCCTGTGGCAGCCACTGACGGGCAGTGGGTGTGGGGCTGGCCTCAGGAGATGCCATCCAGGGGTCTAGCCCACCTTGGTTGTCCAGAGCTGGAGGTCACCCCCTCTCCTGCCCCTACCCCCATCCTCAGCTCCCTCCACGCAGGCTCTGTGTGCGGGAGGCTCTGGTACCAGTTGTTGGTTGTGTAACTGGCAGCGCTGAGGTTACACAATCCGATCGATTCCCTAAGGGGCCGGCTCCATCTGATAGGCCAGCGGGGAGCCCACTCATGGAGCTAAGTGCATGACCGAGGCCCCAACCTGCTGCCATGCGGCTCCTCTCACTCCGCCTGTGAGGCGCGGTGGGCTGGCTCTACCACTCAGAGGCAGGCCAGGGGAACCTGCACCTCGCCACAGCTCAAAGGCTGAGGTGCCGCCTCCTGCGGGCAGGTGCCTCCACTGGCTGCCCGCTCCCCCTTGCCAGGTTCCTGTCTGCCCCCTTGCCACCCTCCCTTCTGGCGGGCACAGGGACCAGGAGACCTGCCAGATGCCCTGGCCCCTGCCGCGGAGGGAGAGGAGGGGTTGTTTACAGCCGTAGGCTCAGGGGCGATTGTGAAACCCGGGGTTGTGAGGGTGGGAGTCTGGGGGGTGGGTGACAGGGCAGGCGGAGAACTGTGGAAATCTGGCAGGGGACATACCGCCAGGCCTTGGAGAGGAGGAAGAGGGAAGTGGGGGCGGCTGGCGGGGCTCCTCCCCCAGCACGGCTGCCTGGGGCTGAAGCGCCCCAGGACACTGCCCCAGCACAGCGTCCCCAGCCGGCTCAGCATGCAGAGGGCGGCGAGCTGGGCGGCTCTGGCGCTCCTGGGAGCTGCCGTGTGCGGTGAGTGGGCCCCGGGGCAAGCAGGACGGACCCCAGCCCAGCCCTCCGGGTAGCAGAGGGAGACGGTGCCCGCGGGAGGTGGGGGACCCTGAGCCGCGCCAACAGAGGGAACTGGGGCGTCCCTCCCGGGTGGGCTGGCGATTCACGCTCTGCCGCCCGCCAACCCGCAGCCGCGCAGCCCCGTGGCCGCATCCTGGGCGGCAAGGTGGTGCAGCCCCACGCGCTGCCCTACATGGCGTCGGTGCAGGTGAACGGCACGCACGTGTGCGGCGGCGCCCTGGTGGCCGAGGAGTGGGTGCTGAGCGCCGCGCACTGCCTGGAGGACGCGTGAGTGGGCCGCGCCCGGGCGGGACGGGAGGGCCCCTCGGGGGTGCCCGGAGTGGCCTTGGCTCCGACCGGACCGCCGCCTCGCTCCGTGCCCAGGGACGGCGAGCCGCTGCAGGTGCTGCTGGGCGCGCACTCGTTGTCGCAGCCGGAGCCCTCCAAGCGCCTGTACTCCGTGCGTCGCGTGGTGCCCCACCCGGACAGCCACGCCAACACCACGGAGCACGACCTGTTGCTGTTGCAGGTGCGGCGCCCCGCGTCCCCAGCGCCCTGTCCCGCGCGGAGGCGCCTCCGGGGCCGCTCGGCTCTAACGTCCTCCCTGCCCGCCCCGCAGCTGGCTGAGAAGGCGCTCCTGGGCCCCGCCGTGCGCACCCTGCCTTGGCAGCGTCAGGATCGCGACGTGGCGCCCGACACGTTGTGCGACGTGGCCGGCTGGGGCGTGGACAGTCACGCGGGACGCCGGCCCGACCTCCTGAAGCACGTGCAGCTGCCGGTGCTCAACCGGACCGTGTGCAACTTGCGCGTGCACCACGACGGCGCCGTCAGCGAGCGCATGATGTGTGCCGAGAGCCAGCGGCGCAAAGACAGTTGCAGGGTGCGCGGGGCAGGGTCGCCGGCGGGGTTTGGAGGGGTGCGGGCAGCAGGGCCCCCCGAAGCAGGGGCGGGGTGAAACTGCGCAGGGAGAGGGGCAGAGGGGCCGGGAGCCTGGCACGGGGGTCTGGTGCTTAACAAGCATGGTTCTGCCCATGCAGGGGGACTCCGGGGGTCCGCTCGTGTGCGGGGGCGTGGTGGAGGCCGTGGTCACGGCTGGCTCGCGCGTCTGCGGCAATCCCAAGAAGCCCGGCATCTACACTCGCGTGGCGAGCTATGCGGGCTGGATCGACAGCGTCCTGAACGCCACGGCGGGTCTCGAGGCGGTGACCACTGGGGCGGTGCCGGCCGAGCAATAAAGGCGTTCCTCTCTGAGCGTGCATGGCCGCTGCGTGGACGCGGGACCTACGCCGTGTCTGCGGGGACGTGCGAGCCCTGCCGCGAGGGAGTAGGGGCTCCCCAACCCCTGCACTGCAGGGCACCCCGAGTGGGGCAGGGACCCCCAGGGCGCACGCTGCAGGCCTCCCCCCGGGGGTGGGGAGGCAGGACCTCCCAGGCCGCACGCTGTGGGCACCCCAGGTGATGGGGCAGGGACCCCCAGGGCGCACGCTGTGGGCACCCCGAGTGATGGGGCACGGACCCCCAGGGCACACGCTGTGGGCACCCCGGGTGAGGGGGCAGGGACCCCCAGGGCGCACGCTGTGGGCACCCCGGGTGAGGGGGCAGGGACCCCCAGGGCGCACGCTGTGGGCACCCCGGGTGAGGGGGCAGGGACCCCCAGGGTGCACGCTGCTGGCACCCCGGGTGATGGGGCAGGGACCCCCAGGGCGCATGCTGTGGGCGCCCCGGGGTGGGGGGACAGGGACCTCAGGGCGCACGCTGCAGGTGCCCCTGGGTGATGGGGCAGGGACCCCCAGGGCGCACGCTGTGGGCGCCCTGGGGTGGGGGGACAGGGACCTCAGGGCGCACGCTGCAGGTGCCCCCGGGTGATGGGGCAGGGACCCCCAGGGTGCACCCTGTGAGTGCCAGGGTGGGGGTCAGCAGCCAAGAGTGGGTCACAGGAGGGGCACGGGGGTGCGGCCTGGAACTCCCAGCTGGGTGCCCAGGTTCCCACGCCAAGGGGTGGGGAGGCGAGCCCACAAGGAGGGCAGGGCGCACTGTGTGAGGAGAACGTGCCAGGCATGCTTTGCTCCGGGTTGGGGTCACATGGCAGGAGTGACCCTGCGCCCTGGAATCTACCTAGGAGGGAGCCCTGTGGGAACCGTGTGGACTGTTCCCTGGGCCGGGATGTCCACTGTGCTGGGCTGGGCTGTCCCCCCATGCTGGCTGTCACCCTATGCTGGCTGACCCCTAATCTGGGCTGTCTCCCCATGCTGGCTGTCCCTCCATGCTGGTTGTCCCCCTATGCTGGCTGACCCCCAATCTGGGTTGTCCCCCCAAGCTGGCTGTTCCCTCATGCTAGCTGTCCCCCATGTCCAGCTGTCTTCTGATGCTAAGCTGTCCCCCGGGCTGGTCTGTCCACCATGGCGAGCTGACCCCGGGACTGGGCTGTCCCCCATGTCCGGCTGTCCCTGGGGCTGGGCTGTCCCCCATGTCCGGCTGTCCCTGGGGCTGGGCTGTCCCCCATGTCCGGCTGTCCCTGGGGCTGGGCTGTCCCCCATGTCCGGCTGTCCCCAGGACTGGGCTGTCCCCCATGCCGGGCTGTCCCCGGGGCTGAGCTGTCCCCCATGCCGGGCTGTCCTTCGGGCCAGGAGGAAGGCCCGCGTTCCCACCCCGCTCGGATTCCTGCGGCTCCTGCGGAACAGGAAGCGGGAGGCCGGACCTCAGTCCTGGGCCGCGGGTCCAGCGGGATGGAGGGACGGTCCTGGTGCTGGAAGCCAAGTCAGCCTTCAGTCTGGCTGACTGGCACTCGTCTCAGCCTATCAAATCCTTGGAAGGGCGGGCCAGCCAGTGAGAGGCCGCGTCTGCCAGCGGTGGGCGGGGTGATCGGAGGGCGTGTCCTTGTGTCAGGGCGGGGCGCCTGCCCTCCGGTCGGGCTGACTAACGTTGGTTCTAGCCAATAGTATCAGGGCAGGAGACCCGGGCAGCCAATGGGAAGACAGCGCCTGGCAGCGGTGGGCGGGCGCTGGGGCGGCGGTGACGTCGGCGCAGGCGCAGCGCGGGGTCTGAGGCCGCTGGGTCCGGGAGGCGGCGTCCTGCGGGGTCGGGAGGCGTGCGGGTCCTGGGCGCGGCTCCCTCGGTGTCCGTCTCCGTCCCCAGGGTCGCAGCGCCGCAGGCTCCCCGCCATGACGGCGCTTCCCGCGGACGACATGGACACGGCCGTGTCTACCTTCAGGCAGGAGGACGTGGAGGAGCACTACGAGATGGGGGAGGAGCTGGGCAGGTGAGCGGGCGCGGGCCTGGCGGACGGCCCGAGGTGTCCTCCCTGATCGGCCCGGCGCGTCCGCCCGGTGTGTCCACCCGGTGTGTCCTCCCCGTGCGTCCTCCCCGCGCGTCCACCCGGTGTGTCCACCCGGTGTGTCCTCCCCGTGCGTTTTCCCCAAGCATCCACCCGGTGTGTCCTCCCCGTGCGTCCTCCCCGCGCGTCCACCTCCTGTGTCCACCCGGTGTGTCCTCCCCACGCGTCCACCTCCTGTGTCCACCCGGTGTGTCCTTCCCACGCGTCCACCCGGTGTGTCCTTCCCACGCGTCCACCTCCTGTGTCCACCCGGTGTGTCCTTCCCACGCGTCCACCTCCTGTGTCCACCCGGTGCATCCTCCCCACGCGTCCACCCGGTGTGTCCTCCCCACGCGTCCACCCGGTGTGTCCACCCTGTCTGTCCACCCCCTGTGTCCTCCCCACGCGTCCACCCCCTGTGTCCTCCCCACGCGTCCACCCGGTGTGTCCTCCCCGTGCGTCCACCTCCTGTGTCCTCCCCGCATGTCCACCCAGTGGTCCTCCCCAAGCTCCCAGCACTTCCGGCCGCTGCCTGCAGCCTTATTTGGAGGCCTTGCTGCTGGCCTCCCCGGGCCTGCCCCATGATGTCGCCAGAAGGGAATTTGAGGAGGAGCCAGGCGTCTGTGGGATCCTGGCAGCCCCTGTGGG